TAATACATTTCAATGATTGTCCAAAGTCCATCGTACATATTCGATGGCTCTTCTCGTATATCAATAACGCTAATATCGTAAAATTCGTCAGTTGCACTTTTTCGTCCAATTTCGTGATAGAACAAAAAAAAAAAAAACGAATCTCGTTGTATCGATATTGCGTTAATAAACTCGGTACATTTCGCCGGATGAGGCATCGATTAAGGGTTGAAAAAAAGATGGAATCGATCGCGAATCGATACGAATGAACGAAATACGAAGCGAAGATTACATTTACGAAGACTGTAAACTGGTTTTACGATCGAAGATTCCAGTTATCACAGGAAATAGGTTCACGCACCGATGTAACGGTATTAACCTGGAATTAAATTCAGAAAATGCTTCTTTCGAGAAATGTTTCCTGTTTTAAAGATAAATGAGGAGAAGTGAGATAGATAGATGTTGTAAGATAAATTTGATTCGTGTTGCTTTTCGAAAAAATTACAGCTCATTCTATAATGCACTTCAATGCTCGAGAGTAAATTTAAAGATGCCTAGATCTTGATGGGAAAAATTAAATTTTATTTTTCCCGAGAATATTATTTAATCTTTGCTGATATTTTCATAAATATAATACGTGCAATTTTAGTATAATAGTGTACAATATCTACAAGGAAAAGTTAACTATCCAAAAATTTCCAGGGAAAATCAAAAATCATCGTCAGTCGTAATCGAGTCAAATGAGATTCAAATAAGATAATAATCCGCCAAGGATATTTTCCATAGATAACGATTCAAAATTATAATAACAACAGCTTCGTTCGCAAAATCTCCAGCAACGTTTATTCTTTCACGCACAATTTATCCTCTTTCCTCGAGAAACAACACTATACGATTATCGAAAATCATATAAATGCAACTTGAACCAACTATCTCGCTCTCCTCTTCATCCTGTGATTAATGCGCAGTCTTAATTCCTCGGATTCCGCTAATTCTATTGCGTGATATACAACCGTGACCCAGACAAAGACGTATTATTACTCCACCACATAATAGCAAGGTCACCGAGTGTTCAGTTGTTATTGCCGCCGTCTCCGAAGGGAACAATGCCTGTATTTCCGTGTTTCAGGCGAACGAAGAACCCGTGAATAACGTGGTGCCTCCGTAAACAAACCGGTTGCCGTTGAGACCGATCCTCTGCGTCGCCGGTTAAACCAAAAGTAACGACTCGATGCTGGATGTCTCGTACGCTTTGCAACCGAGAGTCGAGGAATCGAACGAGGATGAATATCGATTTGAAAGATCCAGCTTCTCCCGACACGGTTTCGAATCATTCGTCTCCCTTCAACTTTCCCCTTCTTTCTGGCCAGATTCTTCGTGTGTAAAATGAGCTGCGATGAATCTTGATTTTTTTTATTTTAGATTGGAAACAAATTTTAATCTTTCGTTTTATTCGTATCAAGGGAAAGAGTTTTCGTGATGAAATAAAATAATGGAATCGGAGCGTGAATTATTTTAAATATAATTGCGCGATAGAAGTTTTTTTGATTATGGAAAATATATTTAATACGAGAGGATCGATCAAAAGACGATTTGTTAAGAGAAAGAAATTCTTATTCGAAGGAGGAATTATTCGAATGAAAAATAATTATCGACAGATGAGAAGTAGATATAAACTGGAATGTACGTTGTTCGACTCGAAACAGGATCAAATTGATTGAATTCTATTATCATGGAACTAAAGTAAAGTATATATATCTATATCCGTGAAATATTGATCCTTTGAAGGATCAGTTCTGGATATCAAGATAAAGACAAAGTTGTTGTACAAGTCGAGACTCGTTTTTCAAGTTATAAGCAATTTAATTTTCCACAAGAAGCACCTGTGTGCAAAGCAACGTGAGGCAGTGAACTCGTTCGTAACATTCAATATTCCGTTACAATATTACTTTTAAACTCGTTCGACGAAAAATTTTCGGAAGCAAATGCACTCGGTATCAGATATTTGCAACGACACACGCGAAGAAATAGATATTAAATACGGACGAAAGAAACTGTTTCCACGACGTTTTGCACAAATTTATTACCTCGTTGTTAGCGTGAAAAGGAAAAGAAAAAAAGAATTGTAAAAAATCCTTAAAAAATGATGACGTTCCACGAAAATTCGTTCCGCACGTGTATTCGTAGAAAGCACACATTTGGATACACGCGAGCCAATACAATTCAACGCTCATTGGTCCATGTGGAGGCAAGCCAAGGGAGAGGGCTGTTGTGCATCGAATCGATAACTCGGCAAGATGGATGGACGTGTTAAATCGGACGGCTACAAAAGGAAGGAGGAAAACTGCAACGATGATCGTCGAGTAAACACGCAACAGCGAATTTCGTTTCTCTCGATAATCTGCTACGCAAATTAAATTTCACAATGAAAATATCATCAATGGGATTATTATATCCGTAACGACGGTCCACAGTGATTCTTCGCGCGGTGGATCGACGTTACAAATTAATTGGATCCTTCGAACGAAAAGACATCGATCGTTTACCGGACGATGAATGAAATATCTCGTTGTTGAATAAAATCGCAAGACGACTCGTCGACGGGTTTAATTAATTAATAATAAATAACGATCTGATTAATTTTTTAATTAACCAGGCGAGCGGAGAGTGAATTATTTTCTCCAACGACAAAATTGGCGAGGGAATATTTTCACTGTCGTCGAGAGGAGAATTTCAGAGTCGTATGTCTCTCCCGGTGACACGGATTCTCTTACGATCGAGCGAGTACGTCGACAATAATGTCGGATTCCCGATTATCTTCGCCAAACGTGTCCATTTTTAGTGGCAATTCTCCAAACCAGAAATGTTGTTTTCGTTTCTCTCATGCTCGTTCCGACATTTAGCCAACAATGAAATCTCACTTTGGATATCCGTTTCCCGTCTCCGTTAATAGTCTCCCGGTTCCAACCAGTTTGATATTTCGCCGGGAAGAGACGAGGCTCGAGAAAGGAGAACGACTGGAAAACAATTTTCGTTCGGCAAACAGCGGCTGGCGAGAATAACAAGGTCTTCCATGTTATGCCAATCGGATTATTCTGAATCGAAGTTTTTCTACAATTATGTAAACTGTTTATGTTTCATTTCTAGGAACCAGGTTGTGAAGCAAGTTATTAAATTTCTAGGATGCCATCGATGCTTGTTGTTTACCATTTGCATATGTATATCACGTGAAAGTGCACGTATAGAATCATGGGAGGAGAACTGATCGAAATGATTTAATTAATTTCATCGTAGAAGATCGGAAAAATGATTGTAATTTTAGTCTTTGCAGGATTTATGCTCTCGTCGAGAAAATGACGGAGAATATTTGAACATTCTTTGTCATAAGCTTGCTACGCTTGAGTCTGTTGAAAAGAAATTGGATTATTGATTTGAATTCATAAAAATTCCACGGAATCATTCATTTAAAATATATTTCTTCCCTGTTATTATGATATAATAAACGGATAAATTTTATACAATATAGTATTATGTAAAAGAGGCTAATTAAAGTATCGATAACAATGAATTCTTTCGATGATGAAATAATTTCTCAGAATATAGACGGATAGACAACGAACTTTAACGTTGTATTTCTCGTTCGAAAAGCAATACTTCATCATATACATCATTGTATATTATTGCTTCATCATTGTCCAGGAAAATTATCATCTAAATGCAAAGATTGCAGAAGTTGCACAAGATCGTCTCTTTGACCGATTGATGGAAAAGTTTCTAGATGATTAATGGAACTCAGTTCAACACTACTTATAAAATCTTGCTAAAAAATTCACAACGAAATTCTTCTCGACACCTGTCCAAGTTTGATTAAATTTTTTTCAAGCGCGCTTCTCGTCCTAAAATAATATTTTAGAAATATGAAACTGGGCGAGGGTGGGCAGTCCGTGACATTCCGACTTGGTAATTTACTTTTTTTGTATGGGACGTTAAAGCTAGTTCTACCAGTTTTTTTAGGTCGGATACAAAGTTTTTTAAATCGTCCTCCCTTCGAATTTCCAACCAGTCTCGTAAAAAACAAGTTTCCTACATTTTAACTTGCTTCAACTTGCTTCAACGAGCCAGTTGTTGGAACATCCAACGACACTACCTTTATTTTTCGTTAAAGCACTTCGCGGGAAAGTTTGCGCGGTTATAAATTAAAATTGAAGTTTATGAGGCAGTGCAGAGGCAATTAAGGGATTTCGATATTTTAAATGTTTTCGCGTTCCTCCTTTCGATACAAAGTTTCGTGAAAAAGAGAGGAAAGAATTATATAAAATTTGAAACTTTGAACGTTTCGTTGTTTATTCAAAAAAAACGAGTAAAATTTACTTTTTCACGGGGAATCATCCTCGCGCATGATGTGGTTTAATTTTAATAAAAAGAAAAATATCGAATTATTATATCACTTTTCGAAACGTCTTACGTCTTTACACGATTTCTCTCACCTCAATTACACTTTTAAACATCGTAAGAATGTCAAACATTGAATTACTCGAGTGAATCGCCATTAGACAATTCGAAGGATTAAAGGAAAAGTGGACCGAGAGGACATCATCGTTCACGTGGAGATTGTTCCGTCAATAGCTCTCAATTTCGAGAATTGATCTGTCCCAAGGGTTGGCAGGGAACTTTTAAATCGGTTAGCCGTCTGTTATCGTATTATCATCGTTTGTTCGATCGTGTCGCTCGAGTTGTTCGATTTTGATTCGGTTTGCATGTGCAAACAGATGGAAGGAAATTATACCCATTCAAGATTCATCAACATTAAACTGTATATTAACATTATTTAAATTTTTGAAGAATTTTTAAACATCGTGGAATACCAGTTAATTTCTCATGTTGCCATAAGAATCAAAGATGATGATTCTACAGAAGATAAAGGTTTCAAAATGATCGATATCCTTGGAAAATTTCGTCGATTCGGATGAAATTCGTCAATAATGCATTCGTGGATATTGCAATCACGAGACAATAGCTGCTTTTTTTACGAGCACGCTCTAAATTCGATGCCCAATAATTTTCGAAACTTAGATCCAAGTTTTTTCCAAGCTCGCGGAAAAGAGGCGATTTCGAGTTTCGGTATCTTTACGAGCTAAATATTTCTTCGTGTCTATAAAAACGTCGAGAGCGTAGTTTCTTAAAGGGATACGTCGAGGTACGATTTGATGTACGAGGGACTGGAGAAAAATGTTGAACGCAGGATTTCTTTAAGATATACGTAGAGGAGCTGTCCATTTTTCTTTTACTTTCTTTTTTTATGTAATATCTTTGCGGTTGGATATAAATTCAACGTCCGAAACTCTGCTCGAAACTTTGTCGATTTTGTACTTTGGATTATACCCTCGTGTCGAGGAATCTCTTTTTGGAAGAAAACTCTGTTTGGAAGAAGTTGGAAGGTTCGATTCGCTGCATTCGAAAGATAAGCGTCAGATAAACGTACGTGCAGACATAGAAACGGTCTACTATTTTATAGATCTAAGATCTATTATATATACCTTCTCTTGATCACCTTTAGTTCACTTTTACACACGATTTGAACACGAGCAATTGTCGCATAATTTGTTTCAAATTAAAATTCGGCAAATCTTTGAACCGCTATAACTTCGAAAATGGTGAATTTTAATCAACGAACGAACGATCATTGGAAGCGCAGGACCTTACCCTTTAAGACATTTTTTGAATTATCTCGATACGACTTCCGGTTCTTGAGATATCATCATGCAAAGAAAATGGTAATTTTTAATCTGTCTCCGTTCTTGTTGCTCACTCGGTGCCCCTCGCTCGCACCTTGTCTCACTGACCTGTCTCAAACTCTGAGACAAGCGACAAACGCGAAAAAACTAGTATTTCGAGGAAAAAATATAGGTCACCGAGTTGTTATTTATAATTTCAAAACCGTGCTAAATGCGCGTGTTATCCACACTTTGAATCTTTATACCTCGGCAACGGATTAAGATATCGAAATAAAAGAGATTCGATAATACGATTTCCTCTACTTTACGCATATGTTTTAATAACATTTTCTATGTTATTTGAGCCCTGCACAAAGAATTCGCATTTTCTTATTAAACATCGACATTAATGTACAATATTTTCGACATTGAATTATCTAATTTAATATTAATCCTTCCCAATTTTTAAACAAATATAACAACATATACTCCATCGTCCACACTGATAAAGCGGTACGCGCATACATCCATTTTCCCCCGACATAGCCTGCTGTTGCTCCCCCATAAACGTCTATCTTTTTCAAAGTCTATCGAGATTGATGCGCGGTTTTATCGTTCGGTCTCTTGCATCCGGAATCTCCTCGATCGAATCTCGTCGATGCGTCACACGAGGGGCGGTATACATCGGCAGCCGATCGATCCCAAAAATTTCTCCCAGCTCCAAGGTGAATCTTCTCTTCTCTTTCACGAATTTATGCGCGACAAATTTTTAAGGCGAATCTCGGTCGAGGGACGATTTGTCGAATTTGGTGTCGGGGTGGAACAACGCGACACGATTCTCGCTTTCAATGGTGGAGAGGGATGATGATGATGATGATGATAGGAAACATGGCGGAACGATTTACGAGGGAATTGTTCGGGGAAGAATGCGTGCATCGACATCGTGAAGACGAAGAATGTTAATTAGGAAAATCCATCAAGGCATTATTGTTCCTTAGGTTTAGGTTTTAATCGAAAATTGTAGTGAAAGTGTATACTGAGAATGATTGGAATTCGGGTTGGTATTCGTTAATTAACGAAGGCGAAAATAGTATTTAATTTAAAAGAGGTTTTGAAATTATTGGTCTTGTGTTTAAGTAAAAAAAAAAAAAAACGAATAGATTGGAGGAAAGTGTAAAATCGATATGGCAAACCTTTGAAATTTTAATCGATTGTTAAAATTTCGAAATAATAAGATTGATAAAAATTGCGTTCTTCATTTTTTTCATTTTATAACTCGTTCAATCGTTACACATTTTTCCGTAAATCAAGTCATATCATACGTACTTGTCACTTCCTTCTTGTATAAAACTTGATATATTTTTATCGAGTTATGTCGTGTGAGAGAAATGAAAGAAGAAATTTTTCAAAAATCTTTCCTCGCACAAGCGTACTCTTTGCTTGGAACTATTCTCTCGAGAAGTTAGATTCTTTTGAATGGAAAAAGGGCTTGTCTCAAACGCGATGTTTAAAGACGTGCATCGCGTGCACGCAAGCATTCTCGTTCCAACTTTTGTATTGTTACGTCGAGCAAACACAAATTGGTGAAATTTTCATGAATCGTTGATGTATTTCAACGTTGTGACAATAACGAAACATGCATCGAAACAAGCGCTAAACTCTTCTTCCAGAAGAAAATCGAAATCTGTTTCCAGCACGATGAATCGCATCTTTGACGAAGATGCGCGATCTTTTGATGAAGAAATTTGAATCTCCTATTATTTCTTGATATAATGTAATGCTTGGAGAATGAAACATCGATTGTTTGAAACTGCACGTTATATTTGTGAAAGTTTCCAATAATAAAATTTCAAATACAATGGATGAAAAATCTAGCTTCACAATAATTTGAGAGTTTTATATAAAATATCGTGCCAAAAGACAAAAAAAAAAAAAATGAAATAGTTTCTCGAATAGGAATAAATTGAAAATATAGAATAACAAGTTTCAATTTAAATTTCTATTTTTATTTAAAAATTTTGAAATTGTTTAAGTATCATTTTTAATCAAATTAACTAAAATTAGACAAATAGATTTTCTTATTATATTCAAATGAATGATCAACGTATCGATAAGTCAATCATTCGACAAATCTGCACACCAAATTGTCAATTCAAAGTTGAATAAAAAATGTGAATCAGTGCACGTTCAATTAAATTTGATTAAAACTTCACTGAATTAATAATTATAATAATCATAATTACTCAAAATTTTAATCAAATTCGAACTCTTGTTGAATTGAATTTCAAGGAACAATGCCAAGAATTATCTGTTCTATATATTCTTCGTTGAATCTTGTGTTCTATACTTTATCGCGTTCTCTACAATTAATTCTACATGTCGCGCAAAACGGAGCGTAGAAATAAAACGGGTTGAAAAGTATCGAACGACAAATCGCCTGTATTTGTTCTCCCCTGGAATGCGTCTGAAATAACAAGCGGCGTCTATCTGGACAACGAGACGCGAATACCGTTTTTGTTTAAACATTGAAATTGGAAATACGCGAACAGCAAGATAAACTCGCGTGTACGTTGAAAAACGTCTGCTCTCGAGGCGGATAACGATAATTCTAAACGAAACGGGGATCTGGATTGGCCGGCGAGCGAAAATACGAGGAATAAAACGAGAAAGGAGAACGATCATCGCCGTGGATGGAGATTTGTCGACGAAAAATTGGCAGTCAAACGATTCTCGTGATTGGTCGAGTGGATTCAGCTCGAATCGGTTTTGTCTCTCGGATTGATAACCTAACTGCATCCAACTATGTACCGTGCACGTTTCGATGCAGTTTGTGTGATTTTGTAATCGAAGCCTCGATTTATGAAGTTTCGAATGTATAAAGAAGGATTATAAAGAAGTTCTATGATGACACGTTTAATATTGTGATTTGGCATGCTTATTGTGAATCATTTTCACGTGAGAAGTGTTTGAAAAACGATGATTTTTGATATTGTGTAATGGAGAGATTTAAATTATTATAGTTTGAATGAGAAATATTTGAAAATTTTTATTATAGAAGAAACGGATATATAATTAATATGATATATTAATAAGAAACTAATATAATCCTAATATCGATATTAGGATTAATTTATTTGTCTTATAATGTTATATATTTGTTGAAGATTAGGTAATGAGCAATAAGAACTGGTGAAAATTAACATATTGATGATTCGAAAAATAAAGATTTTCATTGCAGTGAAAATGTTTGAATATAGAGAGAATTTTTAATTTTTCATCATCTGACGCAAATCTCTTAGGAATAACAGTCCCAAATGAGAAAAATGAAAAAAAAGAAAAAAAAAGAAATATGCACATGCAAGGATAAAAATTGCGAAGAATGCATGCATATAGAAGTTAAAACTTGATTGAGAGTTACTCGAGAGATGAGATTCACTCATGGGAAAAAGCGAGTTGAATGAGACATCTTTTAAAAGTACCATGTCGTTATCTATTATCTTATTTCTCGTCATACATAGTTTTATTTAAAAATCTATTCTCGAGTAAAATTTCCTGTCTGTAATCCAAGATAGCTGCAATACAAACAATGTTTCTTTAAATTTCTTTAAATAATTAAATTTGAAAGATGAAGATTGATAAAAAATAATAAAACAAAAAATTTCAAATAGTGATCGCAGATGTTTCGTTTAAGCTTCTCTTATTAATCAAACTTGATTGAAAATCATAAAATTAAAAAAAGTATTTTAAGCAATTTTCTTTGTTAAGAAAATTTTTAAATTATAAATATGTTTGATAATCCTTCGAGTTCTTCAAATTATTTCCAAACTTTTCCAAAATAACAGATTCCCTTTCAATAGATTGTTACAATAGATGATGTTTTAGATCCTTTGAAATCTCTTCTTTGCTCTCTTATTCTTGATATGCATTCTACAAAATCCATCTTGAATCATAAATACATTATTGTTATATTAAAAAAAATTAACAGGAGATGGATCAGATTTTTTTAAATATTAAAAATATTTTAAATATTATTTTAAATATTATTTTCGTCAATTTATATATAATAATAATCTTTTCTAAAATATATTATATGATGATAGTAATATAATATTTCAACGAAATATACCTGAAACTTTCCAATTCAATCTCCCGCGAAGAGTTTATTCTCTACGCTTCGATCGATCGACGAATGCTGATCAAACAATTCACGGATGAATAATTTGTGCGTAAACGTTTCTGATGGTGGCTGTTAACAAATTATGACATTATTTTTACTCGAATTTCATGAGAAATGGCCATTATTATTTAACCACTTGAAAAGACGCATATACATGTGCGCGCGCGCACGCACACATGCACGACACATGTCCAGATACGCACGATATACGCACATATATACGCACGATACATTTATGCATCACGCATGCACGCATACATCCTGGGAGGGGATTCCATCTCAAATGTGCGCTATATATTCGAGAATAAATAATACGATTAAATAAATTATCCAAATATAAAAGGATTTATATAAATGTCTTTATGCGGAATTATTTGTTTTTATAATATAAATTTTCCTGCTATTTTTGAACGATATGAATTTTCGTTATATTCGAGAATTTTATATATATTATTTATATTTTTTATATATTATATATATAATTTAATATATTTGCAAACCTACACTTTCGTTTATGAATATTGATATTAAAAATTTTGTTAAATGTTATTAAGGTCATTAAGAGCATTTTTTATTTAATAAAAGTCATATATTAAATTTTGTAATTAAAATTCCAAAAATAAATAATTTCCTCATATCTATATTTTATTCATAATTTTATTCTCTGATTCAGAGAATTATTAATATTTTTCTCTGTCTATAATTTATAAATGGAGAACTGAAAATTACAGTGATATAATCTGATCGAAAGAAAATAGAATTTCATATTATTTGAAGTTACTTGATAAAAGTTATTTTAATATACTAATTAAAACCAAATTAAAATCAATCCAATATTGAAATTAGATAAAAAGATACGAAAAAAATCATACTTTTTTAAAATATGAATTTTCTTAAATAATTCACTTATATCATTATATTTCAGCTAATATTTAAATTAAT